ATTTTCCTATATTTGCTGAGACTTGCTTTGGTTCTTTAGGTTATGAGTACTAGTCTAGACCCTTGTGTTTTTTATAGTCACCATTAAAAATTCTGCTGTTATTATGATGAGTCTGCCTTTGTATATGACATAATTTTTCTGGTTGTTTTTTAATATCATTTTGTTGCTGCTGTTGTTGTTGTTCTGAGCATGTAGCATTTTGATATGATGAAAGGTATAAATGTAGGCTTTTCTGTCTGGTCCTGCAGTCAATTTTAAATTAACCACTCAGGGGCCCAATATTAATTACAAATTGATGTATTGCTTAGATATATTACTAACTAGCTCTTACAACTTAAATTAACCCATTTCTATTCATCTATATTTTGCCACCTAACTTCCAGGCATTACCTGCTGTCTAGTACATCTTGTTGTTCCAATAGCTTGCTGGCATCTCCCCCTGAAATCTGCCCTTCTTCTCCCTGTATCTCTGCTTGGATGTCCAGACTGGCACTATCCTGCCTTTCTATAGACCAAATTATCTTCTTTATTAACGAATGGTAATAAAACATATTTACAATTTACAAATGGGTTATCTCATAGTAGAGGTCAGTTTTTTTTTCTAGTCATATCTGCTTGGTGTTCTATATTTCTGTCAGATCTTCATAGGCACCTCTTACTTCAGGCTAAGAAAGTTTTTTTTCCCCTATGATTTTGTTTCAAAAATCTTTTGCACCTTTGAACTGTGCCTCCCCTTCTGTACCTAGTTTTTATGTTTGGTCTTTGTCATATGTCCGAGTTCCTACTTGTTTGGCTTTTGGAATTATTTGGATTAGATATTTTCTTTCACTAAATGATCTGACTCTTCTACCTTGCCTTCAGGACCTGACATTTTCTCTTCCACATGATCCAATCTATTGATGATATGATATTGTTTACTGATTTTTTTGTTTAAATTTTAAATTTTTCATTTTAAACATGATTTCATTTTAGCTTTTCTTCAGAGGTTCTATGTATTAAGTTCTGTTTTCATTTCTTGACTTTTTGTAACTTCATTCAACCATGTTTTGTGCTGTTCATTCAGGCATTTACATATACCCTCTCAGAGTTTTTTGGTTATTTTCAGTATTGCTATTTTGAGATCATTGTCTTGTACATCAGTTGAGTTGCTTTTCCTAGAGGACGTTATTCTGGAAATGCTAATTTTTCATGGGGACTTGGTACTTTGGTTATTTATGCTTGCCCATTTGTAGGGACCTATGTAGCCACAGTCAGGTGGTGAGTACTGTTTACTCATATGGAAATCTTGTCTCTAATCTTGTTGAGCAGGTGTTTGAAACTTCTGTTAATATATTTCAATTTGTAAGGTGGTAGGGCAGCTGCATGGCACTTAGGATTCAGTCCTTGGGCAATTCAGTGTTGATATTTGAATTAGGTATCAAAAGATGCCCTGCCTTGGCTCAAGCGAGGTGAGGATTGTCAGCTCAGGAACTGACCTTCTGCAATGTTAGAACTGCAGCTCTATATAGAAGGAAGGTCATGCCACATTTTCCTTTATGTTCTTAGTGCTTGGCCTTACCCCTATCAATGGGTTGTATAAATAAGCAAGCTAAGCCAACCATGAGGGGCAGGCCAGTGGTCAGTGTCCTTCTGCAGGTCTGCAACAGTTTCTGTATCCAGGTTCCTTCCCTAGTTTTGC